AAAGAAAAAAAAAAACTTAGCCCTTGTTTGGTTATGATTAAATCTGATTTTAGTTCAAGTCAAAGTTAAACAAATCAATATTAACCACATCTTTCATGGGTTCCACAACTTTTCAACCACATATTTCAAAAACTTCTATCACAATCTATTAAAAATCTAATTTTAATCTCCACCAAACACCCTCTTAATGCTTTATTTATTCGATTCCTCTTGGCAGTCGCATCACCATCCTACCACTGTTCCAATCGACTTGAACAAACCTGAAAATTTTTGTAAGGGTGAGTATTTAAAAATACCCAATAAGATACGTGTAATTTCCATACACAATTTTATCACAATAAGATAAACACTACATACAATTCTTCTCTTATGAAACATATCAATGATCAAGCGACACACTCATCTTAAGTCATCTTAAAGTCTCGTATGATCTCATATCTCTTAATAAAGAAATCGAAGGTCCACGACAATTCATGCATAAATTACTGAATATAAAAGTATAAGAAAACGAATCACTTGCACAAAAATATCTTATCTTAATTTATCAAACGAGCTTTTGAAAAAAATGTACTAACAATTTACAACTGCTTTATATGAAAGCTGTCATGTAAAATTCTTTGGTGGTGAATCGTGGGATAATTGCACACTATTTATAGTAAAAACAAATAGTGGTTGAGTCATGATACAATTGGGATGGAAAATCGTGTCTATCACATTAGATAAAAATTGAATTCAAATAATATAATTATGATTACTTTTAAACTTTATCAAATTAAGATTGCAATCAAACTCTATCCAAATTATAAAAAGATTATTATTATTATCAAAATTAAAATTTATCACTATATTGATACATAATTATTTTGCTCAAATAAGATAGGAATTTAAAACCTATTTCATTTTAATCCTCATTTTTTTCAAAATATTAAAAATATATCATATAAACCAAATAAAATTTTATTTTAAAATTTTCGGGGCGCTACTATCTCCCCTCTTTAAAAAATTTCGTTCTCCAAATTACCTCAACTACTTGAAAAGTTGTAAATACTTTATCATTGGCATAATTACAATATATCATAACATAAATAAAAAAAAAACTCATAATCGTGATAAAAGAACGACATTTCATTTCATACTTTGGGATCGATTGGAGAGTGTCGAATAGCAAGCGCTACATGAAAATGATTCTTTATAACATTGTATAATTAAACTTTAAAAATTTTACATTATTTTTAAACTCCTAAAGTTTATGAAAATACCAATTTTTCAGAAATTTTCTAAAATAAGATTTTCTTGAATTAGAAATTTCTAGAAAATAGAATATTCTTAAATTTGGATAGTTTTGTTTCGTTTCATTAATTTGAATAACGCGCAACTAAATGCTTTTAGATGAGGAGGGGATCACAAACGAATCGCTTAAATCTCAATATCTTCTTAGACAGTTTAGGTCTTTTTGACAAAGTCCTTT